AATACCCCTGAATTAAGGAACACACCTTAGATTATAGAGGCCTTAATATTATGAGTTAAGGTATACATAGTCTTTAATGAAGGGGTATTGGAGTACTGGGTTCTCTGGAGGGATTGGGGCACGGGGCTTGCAGCTTTTGGGTTTAGGCTCTGGGGGTTTAGAGGCTGGGGTTGGCTCCTCAACATGATGAAGTAGAAGTCAGCAAAGAAGACATCATAGCAATGAAAAACGACGACGACAACAAGAACCACAGCAGCGGCACCAGGAGCAGGAGGAGCACCAGCAGCAGCGACAGTTGCATCAACTGCAGTGGCGAGGTGATAGCCAATGGGCCATCATCGACCCTAAACCCTAAACCCTAAACCCGAAACCCATCATCATAACATTCGTCAGCATCTCCTCAGACTCTCAACCACCATGGGACATGGGCTTCTGAGCATAGGGCTGAATATCAAGGCCTCAATAACTTTAATGGGGCTTCGGTGTATATAACAGCAGACCTGTACAGATATTTTAAAGCTCTCAGGAAATACTACTGCTCACCATGCAGACCCCTAATCTTTAGTGGCTTGGGGTTAAGCGCATTCTGAACACAACGTAGCGAAAAAACGACGCCATCTTAGGCGTCAGTTTTAGGACTCAGTAATTATTCGCACTCTCAACCATGGTAGGCTTCAATCCTTAACCCAAGGGCCCGAACCCCGAACCCTAAGCCTCATAGCTAAAAGGACCCAAAACCTGGCGCAAAGGAATAGAGCTTCGGGCTTTTCGGGTTTGGGGGTCAGAGTCGGGTGAGGGTCTTCGGGCTTCGTGGGTTTGGAACCCTAAACCCTAAACCCTAAACCCTAATTAGGGTTACGGTATCCTAGACCCGAAAACCCTAAACCCCTAAACCCTAAAACCCTAAACCCTCAACCCCATACCCCAATCCCCTCAGGGCTTAGGGCATCGGGTCGAGGATGCCGAAGCGAACTCTAGGACCCGCACAGAGGTACTATCCCGCGACAGCGCATTATGAAGTTCTATGAGGTTTAGGGTTTAGGGTTTGGGCTTGAGGGTTTCATGCGAGTAAACGTCAAGGAAACCGCTGGAAAGATCTCACAGTGGTCGTATGAAGCTTCACCCACCATGTTACAGGCGGGTCATATGCAAAACTCCCAGAATACAAGGACCTGAATAAGTATTAGTACACACTAGTACTGTTCCATTGGCTGGTTTAAACACAATTATACTATATCCTATACCCCCACACCCAACTCTGGCTACTAAGGGTCGCGCAGGCCTATGTCCAGTACAACAAGCCGCCAGGTTGACGGTAACGTAGGGAAGCCAGTCCAAGACGAACGCAAAGTCCCCTCATCCGGTTAATGATATAAATTATGCATTTCCCATAATACGGAATATGCCATAATTCCCATAGTTTAAGGTCCTTGAAGGTAATGCAGGATTTGTATCATCAACAGTAGTAACCCTGGAGGAACCCGTCTGGAAACGGCTGACAGCCCCTTTTTCCACTTCTCTTGATTGCATCGGCTTGGCCGCAGGACTTTCCTGAGGTTTCGGGTTTTTAGTGTGTAGGGCATTAGAGAACAGGGTTGGTTTTGTGGCGTTGAGGATGTCTTCCAGAAAACCCTACACCCAAACGCTCGAAAACTCTGAACCAAGAGAAAACAAGTCCCTAGACCCAGAATTTCAGAGACCCCAAACATTCCCTAAACCCTAAACTCCTAAACCCCCAACCCCTAAACCCTAAACCCCTAAACCTGAAGTCCTGAAGGCTACATGTTGGGGCGTAGGGCGCGCAGGTGTCAGATCAGGGGCAGGAGGCGACAGACTCCGACGCCAAATTGGAGTCGCATCATCAGATTCTTACAGGGTTTAGCGCTTAAAATTAAGACTCTTACAGGGTTTATGGCTTAAAATTAAGAGTTTATGGGCTTAAAGTTAAGATTCTTATAGGGTTTATGGGCTTAAAGTTAAGATTCTTATAGGGTTTCAGGGCTTGAAGTTAGATTCTTATAGGGCTTAGGGCTTTAAGGCGAAAGGTTTAGGGTTTAGGCTTTAGAGGGCTCTCAAAGGGTTCCTTACTCGATTCTGATAGCGCGTTAGGCCTTTGGCCTTGAGGACGTCGGCTTTGGCGCGGCTCGGGGTCTCAAACCGCCACAAGAAAATGGGTGGTTGTCAAAATTATGGTCCCTTTTTGGGTCCTTATTATAATACGGCACCTATTATTTAGGGTACCCCAAAAAGGACCATAATTTTGACAACTACCCAAACGCAAAGGAAGACACCAGAAAGAACGCACAGACCCTGGGTTTAGGGTTTGGGTTTAGGGTTTAGGACCCTTCAATGGCTCGACCCGCCCAATCCAGCCTTCAACCCTAAATGCCTAAGCTTAAACCCTACACCCCCCCTACTTGAGGAAAGGCTTCACTTGCAGAAACTCCGGAAAGAATTGCGGAGAAAGCCGTGCGAAACCCCTCGACAACCCTCGAAAACCTACAAACCCCCAGCCGCAGCCCAAGTTACAGCCCACCGCCAGGGTCACGGCCGCGGAGCGGAAGGCAGATATTCCTAAGCTGAATTGTTTCTGTTCCTAGGGTCATATATGGTAAAATAGACGCTAAACCCTCAACCCTAAAACCCTAAACCCGGTAATGTTTTAGATAGTTTCATGTGCTTGTCTATTCCATTATAGAACTGTAGGGGGCGTAAAGTTTTGTGTGCTGCATGTCGGGCTTCATGTTTATTTCATTTTGGGTTTAGGGCCTTCTCGGCATTGTAGCAAGGATCGAGTCTTTGGGGCTTTTGGGCTTGGAACCCCTTGAAGTATCCCTCCATTATTAACCCTAAACCATCTCGCTTGTTGTATCCCTTATACTGAACCTGACAGAACCCGTCTAGCATCATCTACGCAAGAAGAGTCCCCAAACCGCAGACGTCACGTCCCAGCGACTGCCCTCCTCGACCAGGGTCGGCGTGCTGCTCCACTCGACGATATCGCCTGCAACACTCAACAATCATACTTAGAATAAGACGCTGAGGACATATCATAATGTAGGGGCTTTAACAATTAGAATAGGGTTTGGGGATCCCTCTAGAGTGCTATCATAATAATACGTTACCCTAACAGTAATATTGATACTTATTCAGACCCCTATTTTAACAAAGTTGTAAGAAGCAGCCCTAAGGAACAGTATTAACAAATACTCAGGCCCCTACACCCTAAACCCAAACCCCCCGAGAGACACATGATCTCTTTCTATCGGGAACAACCGACAAGACCCTTGAAACCTGAAGAGAAGAACAAAGCTTTTGGGGCATATTATATTTTTGCTTTGGGGTCTATTATACTAAAGTTTTGATAAGGAATTCCTTAAATAGTATTGATAATTAGGCCTCTAGGTTACACCCCAAACCCTAAACCCCAAACCCTAACCCTAAACCCTCAACCCTAAACCCCAAACCCTAAACCCTAAACCCTCCTAAACCCTAAACCCTCCTAAACCTCCAAACCCTAAACCCTAAACCCTAAACCCTCCTAAACCCTAAAACCTCCTAAACCTCCAAACCCTAAACCCCGGCCTTCATCTGTGCCGCAAAGAATGCACCCACAACCTGAGCTTCGAGGCTTTCGGGTTGTTGGGGCTGTTGGGGTTTGGGGTTGTTGGGTTTAGGGTTTAGGGTTTGGGGGCTTCGGGTTTCTGGTGTTAGGCTTGTTGGATGTAGAGTTTAGGGTTTGGGGGCCTAGGGTTTCTGGCTTTAGGGTTGTTGGATGTAGGGTTTAGGTTTTGGGGGTTTAGGGTTTCTGGCTTTAGGCTTGTTGGATGTAGGGTTTAGGGGTTTGGGGCCTGGGGTCTCTGGCTCTAGGTTTGTTGGATGTAGGGTTTTGGGTTTGGGGGTTTAGGGTTTCTGGGTTTAAGGTTTAGGATTTCGGGTTTAGGGTTTGGGGGTTTAGGATTTCGGGTTAAGGGCTTGAGGGCTGAGGGTTCCAACCAGGGATGCTGTAAGGGATCTGTCAGGCTTTCTGGAAGGGGTGTCATAAGGGTTGTCGAACGGCTTTAGGTTTATGGTTTGGTTTCAACGGCTTCAGGGCATTAGGCTTCGTTTGGGTTTAGGCAATAAGCCTTCAAGGGCTTAAGGGTCTGAAGGGCTTTCGCGGCTGGGCTATTATTGTGGGGTTTAGGGTTTAGGGTTGAGGGTTGAGGGTTGAGGGTTTACCCTAAACCCTAAACCCTAAACCGTTTAGGGTAGGGTTTCTAGGGTCCTTAGGATGTGCAGCCGAAGCATGGCCAGACCTGCCAGCTTCGCAGTCTTGGGCTTTGTGGCAAGGGCTCCTTTAAGGGAAGATGGTGCAGCTTCAGGGCTTTCGGGTATACTACAGGGGCTTATTCATATTTTTGATAATTAACCATCATTTATATTTGTGAATACCCTGACCTGAGGTTTACAAAGTCCCCCCTAGAAGAACTGGCCCGGAGCCCCCTAGGCCTCCACGAACACCCGGCCGGCCAGGAGGGGCCAGGGGGGAAGGGGGGGGGCCAGGGGCAGGGGGCTGCCAAAACAGGTTGGTTTGGTTGGTTTTTCGAGATTTTTGCAAAGACCCCCTAGAGCCCCCGCGAACGCCCGACCAGGAGGGGCCAGGGGAGGGGGGCCCAGGAGCAGGGGGCGACCAAAACAGGTTGGTTCGGTTTTTCAAAGAGGTGGTTTGTTTTTTCAAGATTCTTGGGATTTAGGGCTCAGGGTTCAGAGTCCAGACTGCGGCTGCTTTCTTGTTAGACTGTCGCGCGGAGGCTGCGGAGACCTGGGCAAAACTTCGTCTTCTGCCCAAGGCTTTTGGCATGAGGGTTTAGGGTTTAGGGTTTAGGGTTTAGGTCCTGCTGTACCACCAACATCCCACCCAGCTTCATGTCACGGAATCTATGGACTGCCCTGATGCCAAGCAGAAGTAGACGACGGTCAACAGCATGTTCTTAGTCGCAGGAAGCTGTTTTACACCTGCTCTTGGCAGAACCGTGGTCACGATGATGCGGATTGCACATCTAGGAAACAGCGAAGCCATGGTAGCGGCCTGCCTGAGGAAGTGTAACAACAGCCGCCACCGTCTTGACGATGGTGATGATGGCAACGGTGATGATGATGACGACAATGACGATAGTAAGCTTAACCGGAGAATCAACCTCATCTCACACCTTATATAATCTGAAAATGAATGTCAATGTCGAAACGAACGGTGATGGTGACCGCCACGGGGATGGCAATGAACGCTTCTGACGACGCCAACACGGTGACAACTACAATAAAAAGAACAGGCACAGCACCATCGACTCAGCAAGAGTAGTTAGATGAAAAATTGCAGAACGGAGTGTCCTGGAATTCCTGGCAAACCCAAGGGGCTCAGCACTGCAGCCGCGCAGTGCACCTGGTGGGTACGCAACTTTCGAAGAGGTCTTTGTTTTAGGAGGCAGGGTGCAGTGTTGCCGCCAAGGCTACTATATAAAGAAGGATCAGGGGCCTAAACAGCAGATTATTATGCCCTCAACCCAACAATGCCTATACCCTGCACCCCTGACTGTCAAGTAAGATAATCCCGGCTACACCACTTGAAACACTACTCATCCCTAAACCCTAAACCCTAACCGACTTCTCAAGTCGCTCTGGGTGTATGGACACGCACGAAATCACGAAGGAATTAACATAGGAGACTAAATAATTAGCAATAGTATCCTGCAGGGTCCTTATTCTACTAAGTATAGTATAATGTACCCCCAAAACCCTATTCTAATTATTAAGGCCCCTACTCCGGACCCGTAAATAATCAGAGATAGTAGCTATTGACGATATGCTTACAGTAACGACCCCTAAATCTGTAAGAACATGCATGCCTCACCTTTGTCTTTTCTAGATTTCCGGTGCCAAGTTTGGGGGGCACCCGACTTTGACCACAAAGCTTCGGGGTTCGGTTGAGGCGGCGGGAAGGTTGTATGAGGGTGCCAGGGTGTTTTGTGGTGTCAAGGTGCTTAGGGTTTAGGGTTTAGGGCCTAGGGTTTAGGGCATACGGTTTCAGGGGCTTGGGGTTTTGAGGTTTTTGGGCAGTTGAAGGTAGCTGTTGAAAGTGCCTGTTTCTACAAGATTTTCAAGGTGGGCTCCCTTCTTGCGTATAACCGGCTTATGAAGAAGCGCTCTCAATGGTCTGTCTCTCTCCTTCCCAACCCTGAGATTAAGGTTTAGGGTCGCCGCAGGCGTTGCCATCAAGGCTGGTTTCGAAGCGATTTGGGCCAGCAGGATCCCAGTGTAGAATTTCAATGTTTGTTTATATGTGCCTTCACATTGTTGCTCGTCAACATGTTGGAGATGCCCTGAAAAACCTATGTACAACCGTAAAAATCCCTGGTAGAACCCTACAAAATCGTTCAATCGCTGTAAACCTTCATAGAACCAGAAGGCCCACTACCCCTTAATTAAGGAATGTACCTGAAACTCTAAGGGGCCTTAATCTGATGATTATAAGGTGTATTCCTTATTTAAGGGCCTTTGGGCTCTCCGGGGAACCCCGACAAATCCCAGCTCTTGAGCCCACCCTAAACCCTAAACCCTAAACCCCTAAACCCCTAAACCCCCTTGGGCCGCCACAGCGGAGCTGTGGCGCGCGACGAGCGGGGCTCCGCGTGCCCAGCCTGGGTTTAGGGTTTAAGGGGGAGCGCAAGGATTCCCACAGAACCCAATATCCCCTAGTTAAAGAATACAGCGTGAATTTGGGGACCGGTAGTTGCGCAAATTGCAGTCTGTGAAACGCACGTTTGTATGTATGTATGTATATATATATATATTGTGTGTGTGTGTGTGTGTGTTTCTACATATATGGCGCAGGACGGGTCTGCAGAGACAGATTTTTTAGAGGCAACTGCCTT